GGAGGACCCGCTACTCCTTTACTCCGAGAACTACGTAGTGCCGAGCACATATTATTTCTTCCGTGATTGTTGCAACAAGGGTAACAATCATTATAAGTACTTTTTCTTGGAACAACTGACCTCTGCCTTTCTTTCCAACCCTGGTATGGTAGCATCAAGTTCTGCTTTTCGCAGCCACCTACTGAAAAAGTTCAGTACCAACAACAACAAAGAAAGCTGAAAACATGCCAACGGCAGAAACGTTTTCCCTTTTGTCAGACCACCGCAGTCTTCTTCTTCAAGCATTGCTTGCACTGTCCGCCTTAGGATCCTTCTCACATGCCAGGCCGTAGCTCTGGCAGCACCACTCCTTGGACTGGGGTTCTCGGCCCCAGCTGCGATGAAGAAACCCAGTGATTTGCGTGGATCCCAAAACCAGCTCCAGGAGTTTGAGGAAATCCCCGAAAACCAGCTGGTTTCCATGATTGTAGAGATGTTACGCCATATTCCCTCCAATTGGTGGTGTGGATTGTGGTTTGGAGGTTCTCCGTGTGTTGTTTCCAATTTGCCCTCCACAAAAGCCAGGGGGACAAATTCCCCCTGGCTGTTGCCTGGGATGTAGTCCCTGAACATAAGAGCCACAAATGCCAGGCTTTCCATGTGCCGATGTTGCAATTCGCTTGTGGGGGGCCAACTGGAAAAAGGTGGAAACGCCATTGCACTCTGAGTGCAATGATTTGGGTGACCCTAAATGTGTTCTACCGAGTGGGTTCTAGTCGGCGACTACGGATTAACCTATTTCTTAATCTGGGGGTGGGGGCGCCTTCGAAAGTGGTCTGATTCCTCAGAAGAAGCCAGGGACACCCGGCAAGCCGGGAGAAGGACCTTGGAATCTTCAAAATTGTTTCATATATATGTTCCATTCCCCAGGGGGCGGGGGGGAGGAGGGGGGGTCCACGGCCTGGAACATCGATATATATATATATATATGTATGTGTGTGCTACATTTGACTGTCATACATATGTATAGAACAGGTTAAACAACCGGGAAGGGTCACAATTGAACCCTGTACTCAGCGCGCTTTTTCCTTGAGCCACGTGCAGTCGTAATGATGAGACTGCACAAGTGAGACATGCATGCATTGGGGTTTACATGGTTGATAAATACATCACGTTGCAAACTACACCCCCCGTGCCCGAATGTGAAACAGGAGGACAAATGAAAGGGATGAGACAACCAAAGAAACCCGATAGGCATTATGTCATTTTGCAGCACACAAGCACTTGGATTTGAGCGATCGGTAGCTAAGGTCTTCCGCCTCCACTGACCGTCGCTCTCGCGAGGCGTGCTCATGCACTGTACATTGATCCTCGGCCAACATGATTGAGAAGTATAATGGAAATTGAATTTGAAATGTAAATGGATGTCAGCCGAAGATAGAAAATATTGTCGAAGAGATCGCTCATTCATCGCCAATCCCAATTGCGGGAGCTCTTCCACGGGCGCTGATCATCAGACCACCACGAGTCCCAGGACTGGCCCCAACTTCCCCAGTACGACTGGCTCCATTGACGATCCTGCCATTGGCCACCGGTCTCCCGGAGCTGCGGAATGGGCTTGCGCGTCACACCGACAACTGCAGGGAGCGGGGTGGCCCGCCCAGGGATCTCGATGTTGGGGATCTCCTCTTCGACGAAGCAGAGCAACTCCACCAAAACCATTTCGGGGTCTCCCACAGACGAGAAATCCCGGGTCCAGCCCATCACGCTGTAGCGGTTGCTCTTGTCAAGGCTTCCGTAAAGTGCAGCAAATTGTTCTGGTTCCAGAAACCTGCCGCCATGCACAACGTAGACGTCCTTCGGGTCGACCTCCTGCACCTCCTCCGTAGGCGGCACCAGCGTTAGCCGTGCGTGATATTTCGGCACAGCCACGCTTCCTTGGATCATTTCCTTGGTTCTCACGAAATTCGGAATGATGCATCGTGCCACTTTCTCGATGAACTCGAGGGCGGACGGCGTCAGGTCTCCCCGCGCGGCAGTGTAGGCGTAAAAGGGGTCATTGATCAGCCTCTCGTAGAGCGTGGTGTACTCCTTGTTGCGAAGAACTGCTTTCTTGGCAATGTCCTTCATGATGCCGAGGCCCCCTCTTGCGCTTCTATCCCCCCGCGCATCCTTTCGCTGCGTCAAGATCTGAGTCTCAACCTGGTCCATGGACAACGGCACGCCCAATGTGTTGGCCATCTCCTGCAACCGGACCACCCTGGCAATCTTCTTGATGTCCGGCATCCGTTCAATCAACTGGCCGCATTGAAAGCAGTTGATAGTGCCAACTGGAATGAGAATCTGGCAGCGATCGCACGCGACATCAGGAATATGCATCACTTCGGCAAACCGCCAGTTTGTTGCCTTCTTCCGGTTGGGGTCGAGCTCCTGCCACAAGCCACTCCGGCCTCGGGTTTCCCCGGGCTGCTGCGTCACAGCACGGGCCCAATTACGGTAGAGGCCGTAGCGAGCCGTCTCGAACTCAAGCATGACTTGCTCGTCCTTCGGAAGATTTTCATCGAAGACATTCTTGACTTTCGTGATGTTGCCGATGCGATGGGGCCGAGTCAAGTCACGGCACGCCGTTGGAGCCCATTGCTTGTAGTAGGCCTTGCATTCCTTCTCGAGGTTGGCCATGAAAGACTCCAGCACCGGGGTACCGACGACGCCTTTCTGGGTCTCTTCTCGGTACTTCTTGATGCTCTCCCGGTAGTTCCGCCTGACGCTGACGTACATCCGGTTGGACCAGATAAACTTGGCACATTCAGCGTCGTAGGCGTAGATGAGGACCTTGTTCGTGATCCAATCCTCCGTCACCAGGGCTTCCCCGTCTCCGGGTGCGTACAGCCGACACCCCAATTGAATCAACATCTCCACATCGACGGCGATGTTGATGGGTCGGTCAGCACGCGCACCCCCCGCCTTCCGGCCATGCCTGTCCCAAGGAGGCACCACCGTTAGGTAGGCGTGACCACGCGAGGTTTGCCGGTCCCCCATGCCGCCCGGAAAGATGCCCATGTAGATGATGTCAAAGAAGTTCTGCATGTTGCACGTGTGGTAGGCGATCTTGGGCAGCGCCTTTCGGCGTGCGTCCGAGAAATCTTTGCAGAAGCCCGGTCGCACACCCTTCTTTGCGTGCTCGATGGAGTAGTTGACATCCATTGCAATGGGATCTCCAGGAATGTTGTCAAAGCCACTGGCCTCAGTCACCCAATCGTTGTGGCCGGTGAACGCGCGAATGCGTAGGGGCATGAAACTGAGCCCGTTCCATTGCTGTCCGGCCGGCGCGTACTCGACATAGACCTCGAACCGATTCGATGTGGACGTGGCCTGAAGCAGAGTGTATTGGGAGCAGTTCCAGTCATATCGGCGCTGGATCCACTTGGCAACGGCTGCATAGTCGAAGGAGTTGTCCTTGAGATTGATCTCAGGGATGGACCGTGTCGCATGTTCGTGGGCATGTCCGCGAACCAAATACGACACCTTCTTGCTCAGGAACGTCCTTCTGCCATAGTTCTGGATCTGGGGAATGTTGATTCCTGAGCACTTGATCCACTCCCTCTTGGGTTCAGCAGCCTGGCCACGGGTCTCCCCGGGCTTTGAAGCAGCTTTGGGAACTGCCTTCGCCTTGGGGATGTTCTCCGGGCCACGGATCTCTCCGGGCTGAGTCTTGCCAGTCCCAGCCACGGGCGCCTGACCGCTGGATGAGGCAGCAGGCATTGGCATCGCCTTTGATTTCACCTTTGGTGTCGCAGCACTGAGAGCTGCAGTCATTTTGTTATGACTTTTCCGTTTGGAAGTGAGGACCAGCTTGATCTGGCCGTCCTCGCCGACATCGTTCGGATCCACTGCGGCAACCTCAACGGCCTGGCCTTTCGGCCGGCTGACCTTGGGCTGAGAGCCCGGGGGCAGGTCAAAGCTGATTAAGTCCTCCTCAACGGACGATAAGGACCAATCAATAACGTCATTGAGGCCGCTGACGGTCGCCGCGTGGATGTCGGGCTGCATCATTTGCAAAATCTTCGCCTCTTCCTTGACCGTATCGAGAGGATAAAGAGGATTCGCTTCCTTCTCGGCTTCCAGGAACAGTTCGCGCTTCGGCTCTTGCGCAGCAATCTCATTGATTGCTTCAAGCTCCCTCTCGCGGACCTCGTTGTCGAACGGGTCCTCGGGGTTCTTCGCAACAGCCGGACCGCCAGTTTCCTGGGGTGTGGCACCGACGATGGGAATAGATGTGTCGATGTTCATGTATTCCCTTTCGAGGAGGTACCAGTTCATAGCCCCTGCGAAGCGGTTGATTTGGCCGATGCAGTACCCGAGCTTCGCGGCGGCCACATAGAAGTTGATGTAATGTTTTCTGTTGCGCTCGGTGTCATCGGTGTGGATGCGGTCTGCCCGGGACGTGTTGGATATGAGAGTCTGGGGGTCGAGGACGGTGATTCCCACGGAACCGTGCAACAAACGTGCATGACCGTCCATTTGAGTCTTGTAAGATTCGCTCAATCCGTACGTCTCAAAGTCCCGGGGTACGATGAGCACGACCTGAATCACGTCCTCCCGATAAGCAATATGCCGCAGCCGGTCACGGACAGTCATCACTGCGCGGGCGTTCCGTTCGATGATGTCCATCGCAGCCTTGCGCTTTGCCTCGGAGTCAGTGGCCCAGCCCGCTAGGGCGGCGGGGTTTTCAATGTACCCGTTGCGCCCAATGACATCATTTCCAGACCAGGAGATCACGATGACGTACGGCCGGGGCTCGGGCCTTTCGGCGAGCTTTAGCATTGCCCGCTCAGCGGCATCAAGAGATTCCGCCAGTCCTTTGCCCCATGTCATTTCGGACCATACCTCGTGCTTGTGCCCAAACAGCGTCCGCTTGTTTTCCTTGATGATGGTGCCAACATCTGTCTTTGCTCCATCTTTGACCAATGCGTTGAAGGAGTCGCCGAAAAACAGATAGTTGACCGCGGGTTTCCCCGGGCAGAAGAGGATATCGAAAGCCTCAACCGGAGCCTCTTTGAGAACACCCGCAGCACCTGTCAACGATGACATAGCATTCTTGGCGAGAGCCAGCGCATCGGTGCGTTCACTCATCTTGGCAAGGTCGACACCGGAGTTCACGTCCTTGACGATGAATGATTGAGTTGCCGCATCACGGAACATGTCTGACCAAGCCTCTCGGTTGGCGACGCGCAGCTCGTCGGGGATGACCTCGGCCTTCACCTTCCCATCGTGCAGGATGTAGTCCGAGCCGTAGTCAACGCGAGCGAGCGGCACATCTTTGTAGTTCCTCGCATCGAACGCCGAGCGCACCGTCTTGAGGGTCTTCTC